AGATACTTGGCAAACTTATCTGGGTCTTTAATAAACTCTACAGACAACAGATTAATATTCAGATACTTGGCAAACTTATCTGGGTCTTTAATAAACTGTACAGACAACAGATTAATATTCAGATACTTGGCAAACTATCTGGGTCTTTATTAAATTCTACAGACAACAAAATAATATTCAGATTCTTGGCAAACTTATCTGGGTCTTTAATAAACTGTACAGACAACAGATTAATAATCAGATACTTGGCAAACTATCTGGGTCTTTAATAAACTCTACAGACAACAGCTTAATATTCAGATAACTCATCGGTTATGAATGGTACCAACTACTCTTAAAAATCTATTGATTAGCATTATAAGCAATAAAGCATCTTTATGATCTATTAAAGTCGGATTTAAACGATTAAACTGATGGGGTTTCTTATGGATTGAGAGTTTTGAGGAACAGTTCCCAATTGTAATCAACAGAAGACACATTTTAAACAGGGGTGTATATTCTTAAGAATATCAACAATAACCCCTCATTCTGGGTGTGGGAGGTAGAATAATTTTTATAAATCTGGAGCAAAAAAACTTTAAAAAAATTGGACATTAAAAGGCAAGATTTGTATTTATTTTCCTATAAAATAATTACTACTCCACAATTCAGCGAAAAGAGCACACCCAATTTATTGGGAGAAAAAAAAATTTTAAAGGAGAATATACACCCCTGGTAGTTATAGCGCTGAGCTACATCAACTAAACTTTATATCGACAGTGTAAACTTTAATTTAATTGATAGAGGTTAATATCCAAAATTAATTTTATAAGTGGAATTTAAGTCTGACCACTTTAATTAAATGACCGACTAAGAGCGTTATAATCATCCAACATATTTAAAATCCTAAAGTTTTGACCTCTTGTGTAAAATCTAGTGTTCTTTGTATTTATGTGGAAAGTTTAAGCAAGTAAATGTAATATTTAAGCAATTAAAACTGATGCATATCAAATACAAGACCTTTATTTTTTTGATGATATTCATCGTTTCATTTTCACCCTATTAATCTGACCGTTCCTAAATACTGATTAATTGATTGATCAAATACATTTAATAGATCAGCATCGATGGAAAAATCCTGTGGAGCTTCCGGAAAAGAATTTTTAATTTCTCTCAATTCCATTTTATCTGAAATATTTAGATAAACTAACTAACTAGCAACAAACTATGACTTGTAAATTTTCATATAAATAAACTGATTGATTAGAAGGTATCTTAACAGTATGAATAGCAGATGGTGATATGGAGAAGATAATCAAGTAAAAACTTTTATTATTTTATCTTTTAAGGTCGGCAAATTTCAAGAGATGCTCCTTAGTTTGAATTTCGGGTTCTCTATTAAAGTGACTTGCGGAATTGAACTGCTGAGACAATGAAGAAATGGCCGAATTCGACACTTCCTTATGGTTACTTAGAAAAAGGTATAAAGGGTGCGTTGTGAATCAAACTTGCCGCTTGTTAAACAGAGAACCACTTGACATTACGCTCCAATAATTAAATTGTTCCTCAACACTTTGTTAAAACAAAACAATTTATATTTTTGGGGGATTTTCTAGAATTCCGGTGAAACTGGCTCCACACCACCGTGACAAGTTGAACTAACGCTGAGCTTTCTTGATCTCTTTCTCCTCCTTGTCCTTGTCTATCAAGTACTGCATGAGATCATTTAATCCGGTGAATTCGGTTCGGGACTGAACAACAAATATATTTTCTTGTGACCCTCTATTTCAAGCGGCGGATTCTTTGCTTGTATGTTTGTTTATATCCAATGAACGTCAAAACGGCTGAACCGATCGGGCCCATTTTTTTGTGCCAACTAAAAAGACCCAGGGAGGGTTTATGGATGGTCGTTATTTAGAAAATTAGAAAAATCCTATTTTCAAAAATCACGGGGAAAAGTTTAAGAGCAAAAATTAAAAGTTAAAATCCAAGATGGGCGCCCCCTAGTTAAAATAAAAGCATTAAAAAATCTTCTAAAATAAGTTTTATTAAAACATATGTTGTTGCCTGGGGTGGATCATTTCTCCTTATTCTAGGCAGAATTCCTCCAACCTAAACAAATACAATAAGAAGTTTAACTTTTTAACTTCAGAGAGATGGTTCGCAGATTTTTAATTGGCTGTGAGACTTTGTTAGATTTTTAGATTTTTAGTTTAGTTTAGAAAAATTTATTCTGTCACTAATAAAAATATCTGAAAATTAACTCAACATGGAACCCCTAGAACGCTCGCAGCGCATCTATATTCTACATTCGGCCTGGAATCCATCCCGGCTAATGCACAATATTTAAAGCCAATGATACATCCTGCGGTGGCTGGCCACCGAAATGGTCCGCTGCGTAGTGCGTATCCAGCGACTACCTTCAGTTTTTTTCATCAATTATTTGTGATGGCTGAAACACAGAGCTCTGAGTCTGGGAAACCCCAATACTTTTTGAGCCAGAAGTAGCAGGACAAGGAAAGGTTTAAAACAAATTGCATTTATTTTATTCAGTGTTGTCAGAATCAGTTCTTAGGATCCATTTAATTTTGAGGCGGATCCGGGTCATTTCTTTGAGATTTCCTGAAAGGGGATGGTGGAGATGTAGGGGGGGGGGCCTGCCTTCATTTTTGGTTCAAATCTTCCAATTTTTTGGCTGCACGCCTAATTAGTGATCGAAATTCCTAAAATAAAAATCAAATTGAATTTTAATGACCTCTAATGACCTCCACAAATAGAAAATATTTCAACTATGGCTTAATGCATATCAAATGAAAGCTAGAAACTCAGGGAATACAGTAGCAGCAACAAATCCAGTGGTTGACCTTCTAATGACCTCAATAGAGGTCATTGTAGCTCATTAAAATTCAATTTGATTATATTTTAGGATCACTAATTAGGCGTGCAGCCAAAAAATCGGAAGATTTGAACCCAAAATGAAGGCAGGCCCCCCCCCCCCTACATCAAATGTGCCATCTCCACCATCCCCTTTTAACAAAAATAATTTTCAAATTCTTTGTTTCATTTTTTCGCTTAATTTTATCCTAAAACTTGATATACCATTCAGAAATGAGGAAATTTTTATAATCTCTCTTTTTTCAAAAGTTCAGATTTGGGTTTTAGGAATAAAAAAGTTTTTTTGCAGTGGATCCGCAAATTTTTGCGGATCCGGATCCAGGAAGCCAAAATCTTGCGAGTCCAACGGATCCGGATCCTAAGCACTGGTCAGAATAAAAATATTTGTTTACCTTATCTCTAAATTCCGTCAGATTATTCACCCCCATCATCTTCCAAACTAGAAACAAGGTTTAACATTTAAAAAAAAAAAAAAAATTTTAACCTTAATAAAAAATTATATTGAGAATGATATAATCAGAGTTGTACAGGGGTATATAATTTTTATACACCCCCCCCCCCCCCCCCCAAGGAGGAAATGATTTTCAAGATCTAGAGAAAAAACGAAAATTTTTAGTTTTTCACCTTACCAGAAAAAAATAAAAGTCCACAGCCTGCAAAGGCATACAGAGTTCCGTAGCCCAAAGCTCTTGTTGCCAAACTAGCGCCGGATTCTTGTAAATATCTAAATATATAAATTCATACAAAATAACATCAACAAAGCAGAATTATTCAGAAGCTTTAGGATAAATTTAAACTTAAGAGACTTTTAAATACAAAGCACTTGCCCCCCCCCCCCCCAATGAAAAAGAAAAAATAATCATTAACGCATTAAATTACGTCTTAATTACCTAGCTTTTGCTTGAGCGGACTGAGCTTTGGAAAGACTATCAGGATCAATGCCAATCATACCAGCATCAAAATGACGAGGGTCCTAAAACTCAATCAATAAATACATCAGTAATCAATCAATAAATTCATCAATAATCAATGAATCAATACATCAATAATCAATCAATAATAAATACATCAATAATCAATCAATACATCAACAATCAATCAATAAATACATCAATAATCAATCAATAAATATGTAGATTTTTAATCAATAAATCTTTTCTTTTTTAAACGAAATATTTTTTTATTTTCGTATAGTTATTTCGGATAACAAAATTTACATGTAATTATTAACAGAGTTACTGTGAACGAAAAATCCATATTTTACAAATATATATTAGCTATAATTTTATAGCTAGTAGTACAGTAAAAATGTTCAAGAGATGCTATGAAGATTTCACGAAAAGTTTACGATTGCGCGAAAAAGAGTTTTACATGTAAGAGTGGGCTATAGTACTATAGCAATTTAAATAGTTAATAAGGTTCTAGAGAAAACGTTAGGTTTACAAGGTTTAAACTTGGAATGAAAACGCTATATTTTTCCAAGTTTCGAAAAAATCTTTATTCACAGATATATTCAAATTTATCGATTTTAAAGTTTAACACGTTCAGTATTTAGTCCATTCTTTTATTTAATGCATTTTAAGAAGAAGATTGTGAAGAAAAAAAACAATGGTAGAACATTTAGATTACTTGTTTTTTAGCAGAGGCCATTGCTGTTCCGAACCCGGCCAGCATTCCTATTCCTAAATTTGTGATTAAAATGATGTTTTGTTTTTATCAATATAATTTATACAAGAAAATTTATGCACTTGAGTTCGTTTAGCGGGTTTTTGATCTTTGAGAAAAGTTTGATTTTTATCTTTGGTTTACGACTAAATATTTTCAAATGCGCCACCGCCAAAAGGGTAATTTTAATAAAGTTTTTTTTCTATCAGGACTTCAAAAGAACTAATTGGATCGCATCTACACAGTTTTTGTTTAACCACGAAATCAATTCAAACAAGTTGAACCATTCCAATATTCGTTCTCTTGGACGGACCCGCTGAGTGTTTCATAAATATAATAATCAAAAGACACTTTAAAAACAAAAATCCAACCTGCAGCCGTGGTTAGAAACGCCCCGGCTTTAACCTTGTAAGGTATTTCACTTCGCCCATCTTTTTTACTTCCACTTTCTTCATCTCCCATCCCTTCTTTCTCTTCCTTAACACTCATTCTTCTAAAGAATTATGTTTACAAAACTTTTTAAAGTTACGTGTACTTATCCAACCAATTAATTGTTGTCAGTAATTTCCTAAAGAACAATTTTTGACCCCCCCCCCCCCCCCCCCCCCCCCCCCCCCCCCCCCCCCCCTACTTTTTAAAAAAAATTNCCCCCCCCCCCCTCCTATCAATTTTGTACATGGATCTTACAGAAAGTGTCTCAACTTAACCTAACCCGTAGCCGCAGCGCTCGACCCAGAAAGTGTCTTAACCTAACATAACCCTTAATAATAATAAATAAATACTAATTTTAATTTTGTCATGTTCAAAATTGATAGGAGGGGGGGGGGCTGGGGGGTCCAAAAATCGTTCACTAGAACAGACCCCATCGCTCGGCCCAGAAAGTGTCTTAACCTAAGTTAACCCTAAATAAATACTAATTTAATTGAAAATTGTTGAAAAAGTGGTCATGTACAAAATTGATAGGAGGGGGGGGTCCAAAAATCGTTCTCTAGGACGACGGCCTTGTTGTCAGATCATTCATTTGACAAATATTATTGCAAAATATTCAAAATGTATATGCTGTATATTACAAAATAAATGATATTACTAATATATTACTTTTTAATAAACTATTTTGGAAAAAAAATATTCGTTTTTACTGCAATTCTGGGATTAAGCCCATCAAAATTGAATTAAACAAAAAATGTGTTGATGTATTTAAATAAGTTGCGCGGCACACACGCTCAAACATTTATGTCGTCGTTGCAAAAGTTTCTCAGAGAAAAGGAAGATGGGGATGGTGTATTTTTGGACCTACGCCCATCCCCTCTACTGCCCATCCGACCTACTCCTATATCCCTCCCCCACGATTAGATGATAGGAAAAAGAAGGAAATGAAATGGAAAGAAATCCAAAGAAAAGACTAGAAATTAACTGAAAAGCAAATGATATAGCTGAAAAGGACTAAAAGAAAAGACGGAAAAAAGGAGAAAAAAGGAAAGAAGGTAAAAGAAGCAGAAAAAAGGGAAGGAAACAAAATGAAAGACGGAAAAAAGAAGGTAAAAAGAGTAAGGAAAGGAAAAGGAAATACGGAAAAAAGAATGGGGAAAAGGAAGAAAAGGGAAAGAAGAACAAAAATAGAAGGAAAGGCAAAGGTTAAGGAAAGGAAAAGGAGGAAAATGAAAAGTAAGGAAAGGAAAATGGAAAAAAGGAAAATAAACGAAAGGAAAATGAACGAAAAGAAAATGAAGGAGAGGAAAAGGAGTAAAAGGAAAAGGAATGAAAGGAAAGGAAAGGAAAAGAAAAGGAAGGTATGGAAAGGAAAAAAAACTGAAAGGTAAGGAAGGAAAGTAGAAGAAAGGGAAAGAAAGTAAAAGAAAATGAAAAATAAAAAAAGAATGGGAACAAAATGAAGGAAAGAAAAAGCTAGGAGTAAGGTAAGATATAGAAAAGGTTCAGAAATGAGAAGGAAGGATCAGTTAAAGAGAGTAAAGGAAAAGAAGCAAGGAAAAGGAAAAAAAGATATAGAATAGAATATTATAAAATTGCGAATGAAGAAGAAAAAATATCTCTACTCCCCCTCCCACGCCCCCCCCCCTTTCCCAACAAATATTTCTTTAAAGGGACTGTAAGCATAATTTCAAGTGATCCTCTATGTAAAAATGGCAATGCTCGATTCACAACAGTTCCCTTAAATGCTTTGTGATCATGTATGAATTAGTTTAAAAACTGATTATTTAAAATGTTGTTTCTAGTATTTTGCGCATTTCTATTGAAAGTAAACATTTTGGAATTATCAGAATTTAAAACTTTAAACCTAGAAAAACAACAACAGCTTTCACATTCAGGTACAGGTTTAAGATTTCGAGTATAACACAAGGAGGGGCCGTGAATTAATCACGTGAATTATCAACCAGTTCTCCATCTTGCTAATCTCGTTGAAAACCTGTGTTTTGTTTGTTGGGAACAAGAATGTAATGCAAGGAAAGTTAATTGCAGTTGCGCATACTCTGCGTACATATTGAAACCAGTTCTATGACTCTCTGGGCGGAATTTGTAAACAAGAATGGGTGACTCAGTGTTCGTTAAGTATCCGAGGAGGTTAAAAGCATTAGATTTTGATAATTTTGATAATTCACATAATAGTTTCCTATGACCAGAATATTTCATTGATTTTTTATGTGAAAGATGGATCCCATGTCAGGCTTCGCCATCCGTCTTGTGTTTACATTACCGCTCAGTGGCAGTACAGTACAGTACAAAAGATGCGTACTCCTCTGAAATAACTTTCCTTGTAAAAATCCTTGGAATTGAGAAGAGTACCTTTGTGAATCAGGCATTATCATGTTTGCAAGGAGAGCCACGTAGAAATACGCTTACAGTCTCTTTAATGAAGGAGAGAATAAAAAATGAATGATGTAGAGACAGGAGAACCGTTGAGTTCTCAATTCATTCATATTTTGGTAGGATGAGATCATCTTACGCCCAACATCAGAATAATGGGGTGGTAGGGGGTTCTGTAGATTTGAATATAAAACATTGTTAAAAACAACATTCTAAGTATGCAATATGCAGTTGGCTTTTTTTTAAAGCTTTTACGATGAGACAAAATCATTAAAATTATAAGTTTTTGAAATATAATAAAATTTGATAGACAAAAATGTCTGTGAAATTAAAAAAAAAATTTCGTTCATATATATACTTTATACATTTATATATTTATATAACTGGCCAAACGGCTGGACCGAATGGGGATCAATAAAGCTTCATCTAATTTACCAACCTTTAACAATTTTAACACACACAAAGTGTTTTTGCTTTAACTTCATTCGATATAAATATAAGTATATCTTTGACTCATCAAGAAATATTATTTTTCAAATCATGTTATATAGTATATACTACAGAGTGATATCCAGAAAAATCTGAAAAAGGAAGACAACTTTTAAAATTAAATTATAACTTTAAAAAATTCGTCATACAGCAATTGTGCAGTGTAAACAGACTCTTTTCAATAAATTATTAATTTGATAAATGTCTTGTAAACTAATTGCTTTGTAACAACATCAAACACTCTAAAGTATTGCTATAATGTCGTCTTCTTATTCTATTGTTTTCTGGTTAACACTGCAATTATTTACAATGTTCATAATTAAACATGTTTTCCTCATTTTCAAATGAATTTAAAGAGATGCACTGCAGAATTGTTTAATACATTTATACACATTTATGTTTTTTTAGCCTTCAGATATATATATCCTTCAGATATATATCCTTCAGATATATTTATCCTTCAGATATATATATCCTTCAGATATATATATCCTTCAGATATATATATCNTAAAGGTCTAGATACAGATTTAATTATTCCTGAATCAAATATAAACATTTAAAGGTCTAGATACAGATTTAATTATTCCTGAATCAAATATAAACATTTAAAGGTCTAGATACAGATTTAATTATTCCTGAATCAAATATAAACATTTAAAGGTCTAGATACAGATTTAATTATTCCTGAATCAAATATAAACATTTAAAGGTCTAGATACAGATTTAATTATTCCTGAATCAAATATAAACATTTAAAGGTCTAGATACAGATTTAATTATTCCTGAATCAAATATAAACATTTAAAGGTCTAGATACAGATTTAATTATTCCTGAATCAAATATAAACATTTAAAGGTCTAGATACAGATTTAATTATTCCTGAATCAAATATAAACATTTAAAGGTCTAGATACAGATTTAATTATTCCTGAATCAAATATAAACATTTAAAGGTCTAGATACAGATTTAATTATTCCTGAATCAAATATAAACATTTAAAGGTCTAGATACAGATTTAATTATTCCTGAATCAAATATAAACATTTAAAGGTCTAGATACAGATTTAATTATTCCTAAATCAAATTTTAAATTTGCCAATTTAGATCGTTAAATTTAGCTTGTTAACTATTACAGATTTCTGGAGCTCACAATTGATCTAACAAGCATATTTTTTGGATATTTAATGCTCAAGTCCGCGAACTTCAACGATTGAGTGACGAGGCATTGATACGGTTAAAGTTAAAGGGACCGTTCACTTATTTGGGTAATTTCAGGGTAAACTGAAGAGTCTATATTCGCTGTTGATTGGTATTAGTCTTACTTTTCAAAGACAACTGTGGCCGGAGAAAAGCCGACTTTTCGTTCAGAATTCGAGTGCAAAGGTATGGTATTGTGATATACACTATTTGATGTTTTTGTCAATATGTTGTGGATCAAAATAAATTTCGAATATAAAATAAATAAAAATAAGGATCTTCAATTCAAATGTTCGAAATAAATATTGGTATTAAAAAACTGAATTCAGAAATGTTGAAATCCTAAAAATTAATGAAAAATTGATAAAATTTTAAGCATTAAAAACTACGGCTTTTTTCGAAAGATTTTGTCAGAGCATTAATAAAAAACTAATTTTTTGATACATCAAAAAAATGCCAAGCGAAAGGAATTCAGAAATTTGAGACGCATCTTTAAATACCCATAACACAAGTTTTGAAAAATTGAAAAATCGAGCTCCGTAATGAACTTCGTAATTAATTTGCTAATTACTGACTTAGTTCTGAGTTTTTCAATTTTTTCTTCATTGAATAATTTTCTACTATATATAGTTTTTTTCCTGGAGAAAAAAGTTGAAATTGAAATAGTTTCACCCCAAAAGTCAAGAAATCAAAAAAATATAGAAATATAAAAGTATATATAATATATATATCGTTGTTTTCTGGTCCGTTTAGTTTAGTTTCAGTCGGAACTAAACGCTTGACATGTAAAGGGCGTCACAAGTTTAAACAATTTTAAATTTTAAACGATCATAAATTTTTTTTTATAAAATCCAAAAGTGAAACTATTTCTGGGTTTTTGATGTTCGTCGAAATGAGTTGAGCTGGTTCAGCTCTATGTTTCAACCGTAGCAGAAATATAATACTTTTAATTGTTATTAAAAATGAGTGAAAAAATGAGTGAAAACCCTGTAATTAGTTAGTTTTTCCATCAGGTTAGATTTTATTTAGAACAAAGTAATAAAAAATTCAGATCACTATGTGTGACGTTTTTTTATCATTATCGACATATTCATAAATAATATAATTACTCTTAAGAAAAGAAATATTTAGAGTTTACATTTATTTCAAAATAAAATATAAAACAATAAAACTAATGATATGCTCAAATAAATATTAACTAAAATTTGTTTCATGAAACACAATTTAAGATAATTTTTAATCTCGGATGAGTTACTTGTTAAAAAGAATTTGTAGTTGGGAATTTTTAATTGAATTTTACTATTTTTAGGGTTGGGGAGGGGGGGGGGGGGGAGTTACAGTATACAGTATTTTGCCTGTGTTAGTATAAAGTCTGCAGCTGTCCAGTCTGTGCAATGGAAAGAAATTAGTAGTCTATGGACTACACCTATCCTGTCGTCTTTATATATTAGTCTTCAGATGTCAGCTGTCTGTGTATATATATCAGTCTATGGACTACAGATGTCAGCTGTCTGTGTACATATATATTAGTCTATCTATGGACTACAGCTGTCCCTGTCTGTGTTTATTTATATTATTCTATTTTGTGTAGCTGTCTTGTCTGTGTTTATATATTAGTCTATGGTGTGTAGCTGTCCTGTCTGTGTTTATATATTAGTCTATGGTGTGTAGCTGTCCTGTCTGTGTTTATATATTATTCTATGGTATGTAGCTGTCCTAGGTTGGTTTTCATATTATTCTATGGTATACGGCGGTCCTTTCTGTGTTTATATATTATTCTATGGTATACGGCGGTCCTATCTGTGTTTATATTTTAGTCTGCGGTCTCCAGATGATTAGAAATTATGTCATTGTTATTTTTAGATTAAATACTTATCATTTAATGTTTATCTGGTGAAATCATTATTAAAGTAAAATGTATCCTGTTAGGAAAAAAGAAAAGATGGGAAAGAAAGGAAATATAAAAGAAAGAAAGGATAGAAACAGTAGGAAGGGAAGGAAGGATAGGAAGAAAAGGAATGATAGGAACAGTAGGAAGAGAAGGAAAGATTAGTAGATAAGGAAGGATAGGAAGAGAAGGAAAGATAGGAAGAGAAGGCAGGATAGTAAGAGAAGGATAGGAATAGAAGGAAGTAAAGGAAGAGAAGGAAGGAAAGGACGAGAAGGAAGGATAGGAAGAGAAGGAATGATAGGATGAAAAGGAAGGAAAGGAAGGAAAGGAAAAGAAGCAAGGTTAGGAAGAGAAGGAAGGATTTGAATAGAAGGTAGGAAGAGAAGGGAGGACAGGAAGAGAAGGAAGTATAGGAAGAGAAGGAAGTATAGGAAAAGAAGGAAGGAAAGGAAGAGAAGGAAGAAAAGAAAAAATTAGGAATGAAAGGAAAAGAAGGAAGGTTAGGAATAGAAGGTAGGAAGAGAAGGACAGGAAGAGAAGGAAGGATAGGAAGAGAAGGAAGGATACGAAGAGAAGGAAGAATAGGAAGAGAAGGAAAGATAGGAATAGAAGGTAGGAAGAGAAGGACAGGAAGAGAAGGAAGGATAGGAAGAGAAGGAAGGATACGAAGAGAAGGAAGAAGAGGAAGAGAAGGAAAGATAGGAAGAGAATGAAGGATAGGAAGAGAAGGAAGGATAGAAATAGAAGGTAGGAAGAAAAGGAAGGACAGGAAGAGAAGGAAGGATAGGAAGAGAAGGAAGGATAGGAAGAGTGGAATGTATAAATTGAGAAGGAAGGAAGATGAAAGTTAAGAAACGTAGGAAGTATAGTAAGAAAAGGAAGGATAGGAAGAAAGAATAGGTAGAGAAGGAAAGATAGAAGAAAGGGGGAAGGAAAGCGTGAAAATTGTTTTTAAACTGTTATTAACCTAATGTAAATTTCAGACCTTGGTTTGAATGTCGTCGTAGAAGCCTGCCGACGAGAAAGACTGTTTAATAATGTCGTCGTTCACTAGCTACAAATTTGATGATTTAGAAATCACGTAGAAATAATCATCATATTGATTTAAAACAAAGAAGTAAAGTGAGACAACAAAATATGTTGACGTTAATTGAGTCAATGACGAAATCAAAGAGTGAATACACAAAATAGTGAAGGAAAAGAGATAAAGCTTAAAAGCAGTGGAACCTGAAAGTTTTGAAACCAAAGAGTTTTGAAACAAAAGAGTTTTGAAACCAAAGAGTTTTGAAACAAAAGAGTTCTGAAACCAAAGAGTGATGAAACCAAATTGTGCTGAAACCAAAGAGTGGGGAAGCGAAATTGTGATGAAAATGTTAAGAGTGGTAAAACCATTGATATGATGAAACCAATCAGTTTAAAGCCAAGAGCGATTACAAAAAAATTGTGAAACCAAAGAGATGAAACCAAATTGTGATGAAACCAAAGAGTTGTGAAACCATGGGTGAGGAAACTTTGATGAGTTTTGAAAGAGTTATTTAAAAAAATGGCGAGTGATAAAGCTTCTGCAGAGATTGATGAATTGATTAAATTGATTAAGAACTAATCTTAAAAGAAAAAATAGATGCCAAGAAATAAACGGTAACATTTTTATATTTTTAAATGGTTTATCGTAAAATTTTGCAAAATTATATAGAATTTTCAACAAAAATTTAGAAAAATATATTTCGAAGTTTATCAAACAAATTTATAGAAATGTTGACGAAAATGCTCGAAAGTCTTAAATATTGAAATGTTGGAAAACATTTTGACTTTTGCGTTAAAATATTTTTCTTCATCTTTGCAATTTTATAGCAATTTTTTCAATACTTTGCATAAGGTTGAATATTTTAGAATTTAATAATTGAAAATATCTCTTTAAAATGTGTTTGTACCAAAAAAATTGCTTGTTCAGTAAAAAAGTGTTTTTTCAAATCTGTTGAAAAATTCGTTCTCCCAGTAAAAAAAATCGATAGTCTTTTTCATGTTCGTTTGAACGATTTTATATCGTGCGTTTGGAATTTTTTTCGTTCGTTTTTAAAAAACGATCATTATTTATTTCTCTGAACGATCCATGTTGTTCATCCATCATTCGTTTTTTCTAAACGACACCCTGTTTTACGAACAACTACGTTTGTTCAAAAGCGATGCCCAATGCCCATCTCTAGCTAGAACTGCCTCAATTGGTCACAATTTTCCCCTTCCAGCACTTAAATCTTAATTGTTTAAATATAAATCAGTTAAATCAAATTAAAAATTTGGTAATTTTTAATTCAATTTGTCATTTTCATTTTGTTACGCGTGGGAGAAAATAATACCACTCATTTTAAATTAATATATGAACACGTGGATATTATGATGTTACATTTGTATTTTGATCGATTTCATGTTTTAGGCTTACCTAAAGGATGCTGCAAATTAGTAATCTGCACAAGAGACATAATCTATCTATAAATTTAGCATGTCTATCTGTCTGTTTGTTTGTATCCAATAAACGTCAAAACGGCTGAACCGATCGGGCCCAAATTTTGTGTGTGACCTCACGTGACACTATAGGGAGGGTTTTTGAATGATCAAAATTTTAAAAATTTGTGTTTAAAGTTTTTTTTTGTAAAATTTTATGAATGCCCGAAAAAATATCATGAAATCCGCAAACTTTTTTTTGTTTCTGTTTAATACTGTACAAAGAGAAGATGCTCAGAGATAAAGCCACAATTAAAAGTTGAAATAGAAGATGGGTGCAAAGCGCCCTAAAAGCCTAGTTACTTTAAATTTGACTCCATCCACCGGGGGAAACTGAATCCTCCATCGCAGAAATGCTGGAATTCACCTTAGACACTAAATATTCCACCAGAGGGAGGGATACTAGATACCACTCCAAACACTAATTATTCCACCAGAGGGAGGGATACTAAATACCACTCCAGACACTAATTATTTCGCCGGAGGAACATTTTAGAATCCCTCCAGTGGAACAATCAGCGTCCTGAATGTTAAGCAGTATCCCTCCAGTGGAGAAATAATTATTCTGAGTAATAATTAGAAACCCTCCGGTGGAGTAATTAGTGTCCTGAATACTAGTCAATGTCCCTCCAGTATGGTAATTAGGAGAAAATAACAAATGCTGATAATTTTTTCCGAAATTTCTTCAATAAATTCTGCAAATATATAAGGAAATGAGGACTTGGTGAAGTCGGGGCGGGGTTGGCTGGATCCTCCAAATATTCCAAAACATATTCATTTGATTCTTTAGTTATTTATAGACAAATATCTTTTAAGTAGAGTTGAAGTGAACAAATATGTAAGAAAAAGATTGAATTCTAATATAATTTTCTGAAGTAGTAATATTAAGCATGAATATTTGACTTAAAAAATTAAGTATTCTTTTGATGATGACATATTTTACGATTGTAATTTGATTTTAACCATATTTTCTAGGTGAGAATTGTGAGTTTGGTTGACGGGACACGCTGTATGTTTGGTTGGTGGGACACGCTTTATGATTGGATGGTGGGACACGCTGTATGTTTGGTCGGTGGGACACGCTTTATGTTTGGTTGTTGGGACACACTTTATGTTTGGAGGGACACACTTTATGTTTGGAGGGACACTCTTTATGTTTTATGGGGCACACTTTATGTTTGGTGAGACTCACTTTATGTTTGAAGGGACACACTTTATGTTTGGAGGGACACACTTTAATTTTGGAGGGACACACTTTATGTTTGGAGGGACACACTTTATGTTTGGTGGAACACTCTTTATGTTTTGAGGGACACTCCTTATTTTTGGTGGGACACACTTTATGTTTGGAGGGACACACTTTATGTTTGGTGGGACACACTTTATGTTTGGTGGGACACACTTTATGTTTGGTGGGACACTCTTAATGTTTTGAGGGACACACTACATGTTTGGAGGGACACACTTTGGAGGGACACACTTTATGTTTGGTGGGACACACTTTATGTTTGGTGGGACACACTTTATGTTTGGAGGGACACTCTTAATGTTTTGCGGGACACTCTTTATGTTTGGAGGGACAGCCTTTAAGTTTGGAGGGACACTCTTTATGTTTGTAGGGAAAACACATGTTTGGAGGGACACACTTTGGAGGGACACACTTTATGTTTGGTGGGACTCTTATGTTTGGATGGACACACTTTATGTTAGGTGGGACAAACTTTATGTTTGTAGGGAAACACTTTATGTTTGGTGGGACACACTTTATATTTGGATGGACACACTTTATGTTTGGATGGACACACTTTATGTTTGGAGGGACACACTTTATGTTTGGAGGGACACACTTTTTGTTTGTTGGGACACACTTTAAGTTTGGAGGGACACTCTTTATGTTTGGAGGGACACACTTTATGTTTGGAGGGACACACTTTTTGTTTGATGGGACACACTATAAGTTTGGAGGGACACTCCTTATGTTTGGAGGGACACACTTTATATTTGGTGGGACTCACTTTATATTTGGTGGGACACACTTTATGTTTGGAGGGACACACTTTGTGTTTGGAGGGACACACCTTACGTTTGGTGGGAAACACTGTATGTTTGGTGGCACACATTGTAGGTTTGATTGGACACACTGTATGTTTGGTGGCACACACTATATTCTTGGTGGGACACATTGTATGTTTGGTGGGACACACTGTATGTTTGGTGAAACACACTGTATGTTTGGGTGAACACACTTTATAGTTTGGTAGGACATACTGTGTGTTTGGTGGGACACATTGTATTTATGACGGGACACACTGTATAGTTTTTGAAGGGAAACCTGACATTTTTTATGTTTGGTGGAACACACTGTATGTTTTTTATGTTTGGTGGAACACATTGTATGCTTGAATGGTGAATGGTGGGACACCCTGTATGTTTGGAGAGACACACTGAATGTTTGGTGGGATACGCTGTTTGTTTGAAGGGACACAATTTATGTTTGGTGGGACACGCTGTGTGTTTGGAGGGACAACACACTGAATGTTTGGTGGGACACATTGTATTTAGGACGGGACACACTGTATAGTTTTTGGAGGGAAACTTGACATTCTTTATGTTTGGAGGAACACACTGTATGTTTGGGTGAACACATTGCATGCTTGGTGGGACACACTGTATGTTTGGAGGGACACACTGTATGTTTTGTGGGATACTCTGTATGTTTGTTGGGTCACGCTGTGTGTTTGGAGGGACAAACTGTATGATTGGTGGGACACACTTTATGTTTGGTTGGAGGGACACACTGTATGTTTGGTGGGAGGAAAAGTAGAAAAATTATTTTTTGAAAAATCACGCAACCTCTTATAAAGGTCTCATATTCTACACGAAACCTCGATATTCATGATGAGAGTTAATTTACTAAAGTGCAATTAAGGTGTGTTCTATGAAAAATTTTGAAAAGTATTTTTTGTTCAACATTTGTTAAAGCTTTTACTTTCTTGTTTTATATTGATAATTTTTTTATTACAAAGTTTTCGTCTGTCTATTATTCTCAAATCAAATCAACATTTTATTGTATTGAATAGTGTGTACTGTGTACTTTTCTGTATAATCTGTTTACAAAAATTAAATTCACAGAAATAAATTCCGCCGTTTTCAGTCTATAGTTTATACGTTTTCAGTCTTATAGTTTATACGTTTTCAGTCTATAGTTTATACGTTTTCAGTCTATAGTTTATACGTTTTCAGTCTATAGTTTATACGTTTTCAGTCTTATAGTTTCTACGTTTTCAGTCTATAGTTTATACGTTTTCAGTCTATAGTTTCTACGTTTTCAGTCTATAGTTTATACGTTTTTTAATATTTAGGTTTTAGCAATTATAGATGTAGATTCTACGCTGCGAAAAAAAATAGATATTGAATATTTTCAGCAATTAAAAGCGATTAAAAGCTAAAAGTCTCATTAATTGCAGAAATTTAACTGGCAAAAAGTGTTTTTGCGCCGAAATAGAAATACTTCTTTTTAAGATTTAAAACATAAGCTTACTTACTATGTGATACCTAGCTCTTATCATTAAATCCCCCTAAAGATATCCGTTTAGCACATTCAGTACAAAACAATGGATATTTATTTAATTTCTTTAGATTCTATGAGAGGGTTCGATAGATCGAAATATCTACATTTTCGACATTTCTATCAAAACAATATGATTTCTCCCAACTGTGTGGCAAATATGTTATGTATTTTTAAATATTACTTTCTTTTACTGGCCGGCCCTGTATAAACGGCTGCACCCTGTATTTGCTAGATTTGAATTTAAGTGTTAAAATGTGAAGACGTGGGTTCCGTGGGTTCTTTATGGTATTTTTAAACTAGCACGCGCTACTAGAGATGGACATCGTGTCTTGAACAAACGACATTTTTCGTGAAAAATAAAAAAATAATCGTTTTAGAAACAAACGTAAAAAACGAACAATTAAAACGTTCAAACGAACTTTTTACTGACCTATCAAAGATTTGAAAAAAAAACTATAGTTTTTTTTTACTAATCGAAAGATTTTTTTCAACAAAAATTAGCACACGGACTAAAGAGTGACAGAAAAATTCACAAATTTTTTTTTATTTTTGTTAATCATTTCTCATA